GGGGCCAGAAGGTGGAGCTGGGAGATGAGGAGAGAGGTGGGGATGGGATCGAGGGAGAGGTGGTGGGTTTGAGTTTGCAGACAGTCGTGGTGAGGGAGGAGGGAGAGATAGGGTCGAAGGAGTCTAGGTATATAGAAGTGAGTATATACAAGTAAGAGACGTGGGTTTGATACCCGCCAGGGCCAAACCTTGGTCAAGTTTCCTTACTACACATGCCTGATAATAATCCCTCAAGAAAAAAACGCAATAATAAATTGGTCACTTCAATCCACGACTGTCTGTGGGACACTGCTGTGTACAATTGGCTACCGCATTTCACCCACAAATACAGTTAATTCACTTTATAGTACATTCTGTGAAGCACTTTGAGATATCTCGAAGATGTGATAAGGCGCTATATCAAATGCAAGGATTATATATTATTCAGAAAGCCTCATTTCCACGTAAAGATAGTCATTTGCAAATAATATAGAGCATCTATGAATAACACATGGAGAACAGAAATCAATTGGTAAAATGCCTAGGTGTTCTTCATTCGGGGCTGCAGTTCAGTTTCTGATCTTGTGAAAGCTCTGGCATGGCTCAAATGTTGGGAACAGAAGCTGGTTAAAGCTCAGTCACATGCCTGGATCATGCGTGCATCACCACACACAGTATCAGCTGCAACTTAAGAAACTGTGAGAAATGGTCTTGAAGCAACTCAAAGTGAAAAACCGTTTCAACCCAGCAGTGGAATTATTTTTAGGAAGGGAAGGGGTTCATCCTGTGCAATTTGTTAATAATTATGGTGAATGTGTTCGGAATCAGACATTAGTGAATCAGTCTGGTCTAATTGAGTCCAGTAAATACTTGGCGCATTGGTGGACTATCATAGCCAAGTGAAGTTATGCAGAAGAACAAGGTTGTGGCAGCTTCATGTAAAAGAGCCCCTTCAGCAAGGTCACAGAGAGAGAAACCAAATATACAAAACTCAACAAGTTCCCACAGTCAGTGTCACATTCTGCACATCACCTCTCGCTCCTTCCACTTCTTAGCAACAGTAAAAAAAATCCAAGCTATTGACAAGTCATTTTATTTTTCATCTCATCAAAGGTGGAAAGAAACATGCTCCAGGTTGGTCAGAAGGTGGAATTTTCCAGCCGTTGTCACAACACATAGTAAGGCTGATGGGTAACACTGTGACGCCATTCTTGCCTGTCTGGCATGTATGGATTTTTTTTGCTGTAAGTACACTCCTTATTGGGAAGGAGCAGTGCCGGCAACTGTGAGCAAGGACAGATGCTTCATGAATTTGTCCTTGCAATTGCTAGGAGCACAGAACAACCTGCAGACATTGTACTGTTGAACTCCACCAGAGATTTGCTACAATCTAATGAATGTTCCTACAATCTTGATGCACATCATCTCTGTCCACAGTAGTGACTATCTTACAACCCTTCTTAGTAAGTCTCTTAACAATGTCAACACAAAACAAATTTATGAGGAACATATACAGTATGGGAAAAACACAAAAAGAATCATTGGCTTGTAGCAAACATAAAAAAAGGCATCACATTAATTGCAACTAAATACACCACAACAACAACACGCATTTATATAGCCTCCTTCACACAGATTGTCTCAGAGTACCTCACAGGATGATGCTGGATACCAAGCTGGGGGGAGGAGGGGGGAATTACTGCAAAATCTAACGTGAATTTTGTAGGCGAAAGTGGTGAGCAATTTGTACACACCAGATGTATGAAAATTAACACCATGATTGCAGATGATGTAATCAATGGGAGCATGTAGAAGGGGAGTGAGGATAGAGCTCTGAGACACACTGAAGGTGATCATGTGAGGGGGGGAAGTGAAATCATTTCAGGAAATAAAGTTGAGTAGAATTGGAACCAACAAAGTTCAATCCCACTGAGGTGGATGAGAGAGAATAGTGTAGTTGTCAAAATTGAAAAGAGCAGAGAAGTCTTTATATGGCTTGCATGAAAAGTAAAAATAAATTAGGATTTATTTCCAATGCATAAGATAATTTGATAATCAGAATGTTTTTTGCTCATTTGTGGCATGAAAAATTCCTGGTACTTCAATTAATAATAATCCTTACATTTGATATAGCGCATTTCACATTGTGAGGCGTCCCAAAGTGCTTCACAGAATATACTGTAAAATGTAGTGAATGTATGTTTTTTGTGGGTGATCGCAGCCAATTTGCAACACCCTGAAGACAAGATCATGGTTGTATTTGTATAGCAAATCAGAACATGGTTGTTGCTTAAATTCTAATAAGAACATAGAAATTTGCAAGGCAAAAGAAGACCAAGGTCCATCCATTTAGCTTGCTTCCATCCTGGCAGTCGCCTGACACTTTGACACTCGACACGTTGAGTGTCAGACTACATAATGTATCCTGAGATAGAGCGGGCTGATTATTCCTTTTAGCACTTGCCTTCCATTCCAGTGGGACTATCACAACCACACTAGGATCTAGGATTGATAATTTGAATTACTGTATATATTGAAAATTCACCAGAGAAATTTAGGTAAGATTCATGAACGTTGAGACCAAAGTTTAAGGGCCATGATCTCCAAGAGCAAGTTGCAGTTGTGTTACAGCACAAACAATTTATAACATTTGTGGTTCTGTATACCTCCTTGGAGCTCTCCCAGTGGAATTTTCTTGTCTGAGTGCATGTCTGCTTGTACTGACACTGGAGCCTATTATGCAAGTTGTGTAATCCATGTGTAAATTAGCTGCCAAAGTTTTTAATGCTGCTTTGCATTATATGACAGGAAGAAGGGTGTTCTGAATCAGAGTTGTAGTGGGGCCAGGTTTTAATAGTGTATATAACACACTTTGACATAGGTAAATGAAACATTCGAGAATTCAGCACTGCCATTGTTAATTCTCCTTTTTGCAATTTTAGTTCATTGATGTGTATCAGTCTTGAACCAGCAATGGCTGAACCTCTCCTAGCACGTGTGTGAATGAACTCTGTTCAGGCACGTGGAGGTTCCTTGCCCGAAGAAGTGCCTTTCTGCCTCTCCTGTCTATCTACCAACACACACTTATGGCTTCACATTTTCCTGGTGTAAAAATGATCAATTGATCAGGTAGATGGCACCTCAATTTAATGTCTCATCTGAAGGATAACGCATCGGACAATGCAGCACTGCATTGGAGTGTCAACCTGGACTGTGAGTTTAAATTCACGACATGGTCCTTGAACCCACCACATTCTCAGAAGCAGAAGTGCTACCAACTGAGCCTGGCTGACACATTGTGCCACAGTTTCAAATCCAATGCTAAAGGTGTCTCTCGTCCTTTAGCTAGCTTATTGGACCTGTTGCAGTTTGAAACCTGTAGGATCATTGTCACATTGTTTTAATCTTGTTCAAATACAATCTGTAATATGTAATTTAATGCAGAAAAACATTTTCCCATTTCTGCTGTATTGAACATTTAACATTGCACTGTTTTTATATTATGGTTGATTGTTCTTGTGAAAGTTGCTCATTTCAACCATTGCTGCTGAGCTCTTAGATGTACAATATTTCTAACAGATTTTGACTCAGTCTCAATTCCTAGCTCCTCATGTGATAATCCTTTTACTACAGAGCCTGGTTTCAATTTAAAACATCTGAGAAGCTAACATGCCTTTTGTTGAGAAAAAAAACATTTCATAGGTACGAAAAATTAAGGCATTCAAATAATTTAGAAATTTGATCTACTTTCAATGAGATGATTTATCCCATTTATAATCTCCTTACTTATTGGTTCATTGAAAACATTACACACTGACTGTGAAATGGCTTCAGAGGCAGTGGACCATGTTTGATGTGTGAAAGAAACACCTTCAATTTATTTTCAGTTCTACACTTTGAGGTCTATTATGCGGGGAATCTACCTGTAATAACAATTTTGCTATTACATTTTCACCCAAGACTGAATTGTCCCATCAGAGGATGTAATATTTTTGAAACCAATTTCTACAGACACTTTGTAGGGATGAATAAAATTAAGTTAGAGAACCAGTGTGAGTTTCTGCCCTGAAGAGATGCAGCATCTAAATTCAGTTCAATCCTTCACCTCTTGGTCTGTCTGAGAGTTGGAACTCTGTTCAGCCTCATGATGGAATCAAACAAATAGCCTGGGAATTCACCTCTGCCAACTTCTGGTTGCAAGCTCAGAGCAGAGAACAAACTGTTGTGCTATGTGTGGCGCTGAGTTACTTGGACCATATCTCATTATCATTATCATTATTACTGCCAATATTTGGAATTAGTGACTTTATGTATAAGAAGACATTGGTAGCACAGTTGGGCATTTTGGCCCCAAATTCTCCAAATAATTTTAATCCTTACATGTGATATATCTGCTTTCATATCAGGAGCATGTCTCAAAGCACTTCACATGATTCATTGTAAAGTGTAGCCTGGCTCAGCAACCAGACTATTTAATATATATATATCAAATAGCTAGACTGCCACAGAGGGTTGAGTTGATTCCAATATTCTGTTGTTAAGCTCATCACCTTGGAGCCAGTTCAGCTCTAAAGTCCCCATTTACATAAAAACATTTGAATAGGAGTAGGCCATTTCACCTATCGAGCCTATCCCACCATTTTTAAATATTGTGGCCTACCCGGAACTCAATTTCACCTCCCCGCTCTCTCTCCATATCCCGATACCCCTGTCTATCAAGCATTTAGTTATTTACCTTTTAAATTCTTCAATTGACTCTGACATTTGGGGGAGTAAGTTCCACACTCCCACCTCCCGCTGCATGAAAGAATGTTTCCTTATTTAATTTCTAAACTTTTTAGCCTTGTTTAACCCTTTGGTCCTCAATTCTCTCCCATCTATCCCCTTCTGAGGTCAGTTGTACTTGGCTCTTCATAGAAGGTTATATAGAACAAACTGAACATCGCTGGTTTAAGATAAGCAAAAATAAAATCCAGCAAGTTATAGGAGGTTGATTCACTGATCTAATTTTTTCTCTGTAGGATGTATCGAACACTTGTCTTTCTCCTCTTGGTGGGGATGTTAATGGTAAGAGTGGAGATGAAGAAAACCAGGCCTCAAGGAGCCATCCCACCTCCAGACAAGGAAAGCACCAACAGCTCAGAGAAACGCACACATCGGAGACAGGACGTGCTCGCCTCTAGTCAAGAGGCACTTGTGGTCACAGAGAGAAAGTACCTGAAGAGTGACTGGTGTAAGACTCAGCCCCTTAGACAGACCATCAATGAGGATGGTTGCATGAGCCGAACTGTCATCAACAGGTTCTGTTACGGGCAATGCAACTCCTTCTATATCCCCAGGCATGTTAAACGGGAGCAAGAATCCTTCCAGTCCTGCGCTTTCTGCAAGCCACAGAAATTTACTACCCTGACTGTCAAACTTAACTGCCCTGACCTGGAGCCTCCCTTCAGACACAAGAAAATCCAACGGGTCAAGCAGTGCAAATGTATATCAGTCAACGTGAATGACTGGAGCAAGCAGTGAGATAAGATTAACAGTCATATCTCGCAGTCAGTAGGAAATATTCGCACTCTCAGTGCAGGCATCCGACCATTACCCATAAAAAACAAAACCTTGCCCTAATATATGACCAACTTTTCCTTTTCAACGTGGCCAACTTTTTAAGCAGGAAGGACCCTGACACACAGATGCTGCCCTTAATATTAGTATTCATTACAGAAATGGGTGTTAAGTTTATTTGCTAATTTTTTTNAAATCTCACGCTAATATTACAATTCCACTGTGTGGAAAAGCTGACCAGAACTTCAGTCACAGACTCAGCTCTAAACCAGCTGAAGCACAGCTATCCTTATCCTGATTATCTTTAAAGATCTTCCAGTCTGGACATTTTCACTTTCGTTTTGCTCACCACTGTCGCCTGGGATTTGATATGGATATGGTGCCAAAACAGATAGGAGACTTTCTGATGGTTCAATTCAGATAAGAGAATTTGAGCTCCTTGGACTGTGGAAAGACATGCACCGTGCTCCTGGAAGCACCCAGAGTTTGCACCTCTAGACTGCAAGATAACCAAATTCTGAACAAAGTTTCATGTGGGATCCTGCATTGAAGATTATAGTATATATTTAACTACACAAAACATTGTTTAAATATTATTTTTCCTTCATTATGTCTTTTATATTTCAACTAGATTGATATCAATCATTTTGTATGTGTACATATGAATTTATGGCACTTTGCAAACATAATCCCATTGAAGGTACCAGAACATAGTAAAGGCACTAAAGACAATGAAGTTTCCTTTATTTACCCTTTTAAAAAAAAACAATTATTGTTAATATATGATGAAAATGTAAATCCGTACAGTTTTGATCTATATTCTTTATTTTCATCTTTTTTATAAACTGCATGTAGAGACGATATTGCTTTGATTATTAAAAAACACCAGTTGGCCCTTATGGAGTTCTCCATCATATCCCCTTATAATAGGATACGGTTATTCTGATTCAGAAACATCAAAATGCAACACAAGTAAAAGGACACAGTGTTCCCTAAAAGAAAAAGTTGTGCCACGAAAATTCAGTTAAGCCTGCAGTAAACTGTCAAAAGAAGTTTATAGAGCATAAATGCAGATTAAGCTGATCAGTGGGGAAAACCACATTAGTAGCCTTGCTATCTCAAAAATTAAAGCTATTTCAAGCACTTGAGAATCCGTTACTGTGTCCAAAAGATATTGGGCATGCTATAAAGCAGTAAAATGTCGATTTGGAGTGCTAAAAGCTTTCTAACTGAACACCACAATTTAGTTTGTTGATAGACAATAATGTTTTGCTGTGTTGATATCAAAAATTGTTACTGTGGTGCAATGGAACCATTAGGACTACATTCTTTCAGTCAAATGGGCATGTAATATAGAAAGCACAAGCTCTGAACTGATGGGGTTACTCATACAGTTATAGGTTCAAAATGCACAATGCCTTTCACCACGTTTCATATTCATTAACTACAGTTAATAATTGTACCCAGCAGACAGCAGACACTAGGTTAGGTTTGATTTGTTTTGAAGAACTAGGTTTCGGAGATTTTACTGAAAATGCTGATGTGTACTGTTTCTTTTAGTGATTCTGATGTGTAGAAAGATCGCCTTGTACTGCTTGAAAAACTTGCAAAGTTTTTATGGATGCTAAAAAAATGAAGAAATGCTATGAAACAGATATTTTATAGGTATTCTGTAAATTATAGAATAAAATAAGATGTTCTTGAATTAAGCTTTACTTTGTCAAAACATTATTTGTCCTTTCTGGGTGAAAGTCTGAATTGTACTTTGTGAGATGTTTTCTTATCTATATTTTCCTATAGATTGTGAATTATAAAACCATGTCCTCCCATAATCGCCTGGACACAAGACTCTCAGGTGGGGTCTCATCCATGCTTTGTAATGTCACACTTTTGTGCCACTGTGGATCAACCTGCCTCAGTTGGTAGCACACTCACCTCTGGATCAGAAGCGCATGCACCACGTCAGAGACATAAAACTAACACTCTAAACTGACACTCCATTGCAATGTTGGGGTGGGGGTAAAGCACTGCATTGTTGGAGGTGCTGTCCTTCAGATGAGACATTAAATTAAGGCTTTGGTGAAAGTTAAGAATCGGTTCAGATGAATGTTACTGAATCCTTGCCATATTTGACAAGAGGGAGACTCTCCCAGATTGCTGGCCAGCACATCCTCCATTTAAAATCAATCATTCACTTATGGCTGTTCGAGGTTTATTGCCATGTGCAAATTGTCTACTGAGTTTGCTTACAAATACATATTCACTACACTTTATTTGGAAACGTTTTGAACTGCTATGAATCATTTCAACATAAGGTGCTATATCATAATAATAATATTTTTCTATTTGATTGGACTTGATTTGGAAGTTGTATTAAGCAACAGTGATAGCACAGGAGAGCGATTGTAAAAAAATTAATTTGAAACAAAACTCAGAGGTAGTTCTGCCATTCTAGAGACACTGGGACAGGGAATTCTCCTACTCAGCTCCTGTTAATGCTGCAAGTCAAAGTCTTAATGAGTAGGGTGTTCCTAGTTGGACAAGCATCAGGAAAGCTTGTCAGAGAGTACTATCAATGACAAGTTGGAATCCTGTATCTTACTGGTTAGAGCCCTCGCCTCGCAAGCTAGAGGACCTAGATTCGATTCCCGGCAGGGTGAAACGTTGGGCAAGTTTTCTTACTCTACACGCCTCTGTTTAACTTGCAGTAAATAGGAACCCGGTTGTTAGTCGGATGGCAGATCGCTTTTCCGGGGGCAATAATTCCTTCAAAGTAAATTGAGAAAAATAAATAATTGGGTCACATAATCCATGAGTGTTTGTGAGACACTGTTGTGTGCAATTGGCTGCCGTGTTTCATCCACAAAACATATAGTCAATTCACTTTACAGTATATTCTGTGAAGTGCTTTTAGACATCTCAAAGGCATGATAAGACACTATACCACATCATGCAAGGATTATTATTATTAAGCTATCCGATTTTAGCTGGTTGCACTCCAGCAGTACCCAATGCACACATGCTGTGGCACAAGGAAGCACAATGAGAACACTTCCTAAGCCTGCACCTAATACTTTCCAGAATTATGTAATAATAGTGATAATAATCCTTGCATTTGATATAGCGCTTTTCACGTCGGGAGGACGTCCCAAAGCGCTTCACAGAACACACGGTAAAGTGATTTGACTGTATATTTGTGGGCAAACGCGGCAGCCAATTGCGCACAGCAATGTCCCACAAACAGTCGTAGATTGAAAATGACCAATTTATTATTGTTTCTCTTGTTCATTAACTGAGCACAGCCCAGGGATCTGTTGTTTGGCACTTGGTGCGAGCTAGCAGATTATTAAAGCTGCAGCTCATATCAGTTTGAAAGCAGCAACTGTGCAGTGCTGGCCTACAAGCATAGGAATAAAGAAGAAATTGTAGGTGCGTCTAATTATAGAATTTAAAAATCAATTCAAAGGATTATTCTGGAGTCCCTGTCTTCTCCCTCACCAGGCTTTGAAAGCATATCATCTACAACCTCACTTGGCTCCACTGGCTCCCTGTTATCCCAGCAGATCGATTTCAAGATCCTCATCCTCGCATTCAAATTGCTCCATGGATTGACTGCATCTGAGCTCTGCAACCTCATGCAACCCAGCTCGTCTCTACACACAGCGGGTGTTTCACTTGCCTCACTCAAAATAGCTTTCAGCCATGGTGCTCCTGCACTCTGGAACTCAAACCCAAGTCCCTCCCCACTTTTAAAGCCCGCCTTAAGACTTTGGTCATCTTGCTCCCACTCCCCGATTTGGGTGCCTAGTTAATGCAAAGCCCTTTGAGATGTCCTCCAAACATGCAAGGCATTACTTAAATGTAAATTGTACTGTAGTACAAAGATTCCATGTACCAGTCTAGCTCAATTGGTAGCATTCTCACCTCAGAGGCAGAAGGTTGTGAGTCCAGGCCCCATGTTAGGACTTTGATCTTAGAGCCTAGGCTGATGTTCCAGTGCAGTGTTGGGGGCACCTTGCATTGTCAGAGGTGCTGTCCTTCAGATGAGTTATTATACCAATGTCCCGTCTGCCTCTTCAGGTGGATATTAACGACCCCATGACTTAAAAAGAAGGAGGAGTTCCTCCAAGTGTCCTGGCCAACTATCCCCCACTTCATGACTGTTTGTGCAAACCCAGTATACACTTTGCAGCACATCATGTGAAGCATTTGAAACATCTTGATGACAAACTGCTAAGGTGTTATCATATGCAAACATTGTTCCAATAATCACTAGTTGGTTATTTGATATCAAAGCACACTGGTATACTGTCCCCAGATTACCATGTATATTTCTCATTGCTGTGGCACAAGAAATGAGCAATGAAAGCTATTTGGTCCATATCAGGGAAAGCTGGGAAATATTTGTGCTCCTAGTTAGCACTTTAACACTCAGTGGAAACAATTCTTGATATAATGACTGGATAAATAAAAACAAGGAGGAAAAGCAGAGGCAACAATTAGAGAACAGTTTAGACCTGAATATTTTGTGCTCAGCAAGTTCCCAATCTCTGCACTGAAGTTAGAAGAGTCTTTCAGGAGAGGATACATGCATCCCCTCAGGGGGTAGGGAAGAGGGGAAATAAAGAGGTCAAGTCACTCCCACATCGCACTCAAGCATGTCCAGCTGAAAAGCAGCACTGCTAAAGGCCAAGGAGTCAGTGAGTTACTTTTCAGCTGTCTTGGCTGGCATATAGTGCAGACGGAAAACTTAAAGGAAAAGCAAGTCATTTAAGATGAAGAGGAGGCAAATAAATACTAGCCTTGCAGTGAGTGAACAGGGCCTGTTTTGACATTTTGAGACTAAAGCATGCCAGAAAAGTGTCAGTGATATGTACATTGTATTCTAGCATTATTTTTTTTGGAGGGTGGTTGGGTGAGGTTAAGCTAGTGAAAGATGTGGAACACTAGAATTTTTTTAAAAAATTGGATAATTCACCTATCCCACAAATGACCTCAATTTGGGCAGACCAAGATCAAATAAAAGTCGATTTAATCATGTGCATCTGAATGGCAAGACTTTACAGATAAAATAAAGAACAAAAGTCATGTCCTGGAGAATGCAGCATATCATGGGAATCTCAAACAAACTTAACTCATTCTACAGGATTTTCCTACGAATCAGGACTTGCATGCTTGATCTCCTGCTTTTCATTGTGTAGTGAAGTGTTCAATATTTTGCTGGCACTTGGGCCTTCTTCCTGTTCAGTATGAATCCACATCCATATTCTCCTTGCGTTTAGAGTCCTGAAGAATGCTAGAAGTAACTGTGTGGGGGTGGGAAGAGAAAGTGACAAAGTGAAGACCCCGGGTAACCAAAGCTGAAATCTATTAACGATCACATTTCTAATATTTTTTAATCCTGTTCAACTGATGTACATATATGTATAGACCGTATTAGTGCACATTAAAATGAGTTTATGTGCAAGCCAAAAACCCATGCAAATTGTAGAGTGATCAGCACAAATCAGCAGTTACACAAATGGGTTATTCAGGTTACCATTGAAAATACAGTAGTACAGGATCATTCTGATGGTTTAACGTGGTGTGTGTGTTAACGTTTGAGGATATGGATCCTTATTTCTCATTCAGTTCATTCTTTTCATGTTCCTTCTGAAGAGTTGCTTTGGTGGTGTGACATCACTTCCGCTGCCGGGTTTGAATCACTGAAACCAGGTGTTGTATAGTATCCTTTGTCTATACTGTCTTTCTCCTTCCCCTCCTCTGTCTGTCCCCTGCCAAGCTGCTTGGTGTTGTTTCCCAGGTTGGGAAACCTGGCCAACAACACAATGAGTGCCTTTCCCCCTCTTCCCCCTCTGTGCTGCCTCTAACCCCCGCAGTCTGTAGACTGACTATGCCCTGCTAACCGCTGCCTCAAGTCTCGGCGTGCGCATCTTGGCTGCCACCCCCAACTCAAGCTAACCTTCCCCAAAAATGCTCCCTACCCTGCAACTATCCTGCTCTGTCCTCCTCTCTCTCCATCCTCCTCGCCTCCTATCCCCATTTGACAGTCCCATAGCTCCCTCTGCTCCAGCCTGGGAATCCTCCATCGGGCTCACCATGGGACTCGCCATTGGCTGTCCAGCAACAGCCACACTGACTGCCCCATTCCTCACTATCACTGCAAGCCTCGCCAAACCCAGACCCCGGGGGCCAACCTCTCCCCCCTCATCCACATTCCCATCCTCCCTCTCAATCACTCCATCACCCCTTCCCATCTCACACATTCTCCTGGCATCTCCTACCGCCCCTGGATACAAATCTCCCCACACTCCCTCTCTGTTGTCCTGGAGTCATCTGAACTCTTCCCACTCTGCTACCTCCCGCACCGACTTATCCTTCTCGGTCAATCTCCTTCACAACTACCTCTCCACTATACTCAATGCCCTTGCCCCCCTCACCTCCCAAACCACCTCCTACTCATGCAACTCCCTCTTGCACACCAGCCACCTCCGCTCCCTCAAGGGTCAGGTGCATGCCACCGAACCACCTGGCTCAAATCTTATCACCGGCAGATCTGACTGGACCACATCAAAACGTACCGCTCTATCCTCGCCTCCCCAAATCATCCTTCTACTCCAAGATAATCTTGGAGGTGAAGGACAACCCCAGACACCTATTCTCCAACACCAACCGGCTACTCTGTCCACCCTCCCACGCCTCACCCATTCTCTCCTCAAGCTCTGACTGCGAGGAGAGGCTGGATTTCTTCGAGTCCAAAATCGAGGGAATCCATTCAGCTTCCTCCATTCTCCCAACCGCCACTCCCTCCCAATTTCCCCCCGAACTCCGACCCCTACCTCCCTCCCTCCACATCTTTGAACCCGTCTCCCCCTCCTCTCTCATTATCACCATATCCAGCATGAAACACACCACCTGCTCCTTTGACCCCATCCCCATCCCTCCCCTTATTTCTCAGCTCCACCTTGTTGCTTCTCTACTCTCCGACACCATTAATCTCTCTCTATCATCTGGCATCATTCCCATCTTCCTAATAACAGATATAATCACCTCCATCCTGAAAAAACCTTCCCTGGACCCATCCTTGCCTTCTAACTACCGGCCCATCTCCAACCTCTCTTTTCTTTCCAATGTCCTTGAAAGAGTTGTTGCTTCCCAGATTCGCTCCTTCCTCTCCCTTCATGAGCCCCTCCAAACAGGTTTCTGTGTTGTTAACAGCAGAGAAACTGCTCTGGTCAATGTTCACAAACGACATTCTATCCATCTGTGACCTGGGCTCCCTCTGCCTCCTCATTCTCCTTGACCTCTCTGCTGCCTTCGACACCATGGACCACTGCATCCTCCTTCACTGCTTCTCCTCTCACCTCAACCTTCAAAGTTATGTTCAGGTCTTATCTCTCACACCGTCTCCAATTTGTCTCCGCCAATGGTTTCTCTTCCAGCCCCCGTACAGGCTCGTGCGGTGTTCCTCAGGGCTGTCCTCAGTACCCTCTTCTTCAACCTCTACATGCTCCCCCTTGGTGACATCATCCCCAGACATGAGTTCAACTTCCACATGTATGAGGATGACACACAGCTCTATCTCTCTGCCTCCACCCTCGATTCCAGGACAACTGATGTCCTGACAGACTGTCTGTTTGACATCAAGTCCTGGATGAGAGCCAACTTTCCACAGCTGAATGTCGAGAATGACCGAGGCCCTCCTGATTGGCTCGCGCCGGCACCTCAGCACCTTAGGCACTGGCAGCATCAACATCCAAGGTTGCACAATCCACCTCACCAAACCAGTCAGGAACCTGGGCATCGTGTTTGACCCTCAACTGTCCTTTTCCCCCATTTCCGTGCCATGACCCACTCTGCCTTCCCCCACCTCCACAATATTGCCCGACTCCGCCACTGCCTCACCCCTCAGGCCGACGAAACCCTCATACACGCATTCGTCACCTCAATGCTCAACTACAGAAACTCCCTCCTTGTCGGCCTCCCAAATGCTTCCCTCCACAAGCTGCAGATCATCTAGAACTCTGCAGCTCATGTCCTCTCCCACACCAGGCCCCGTGATCCCACGGCTCCGCTGGCTCCCCATCTCTCAGAGGATAGAACTCAAAATCCTCATCTTCCCTTTAAGGCCATCCACGGCCTTGCCCCCTCCTACATCTCTGACTTGCTGACCCCCATCAACTTGTCCACTCACTCCATTCAGCAGAGTACGGCTTGCTCCAGGTCTCCCGCCCTACAATCGGCGGCCGGGGTTTCAGTCTCTCTACCCTCACCCTTTGGAATTCCATCCCACAATCCCTTCGCCTTGCTCCCTCCCTTTCCCCCTTCAAGGCATGACTCAAGACCCTCCTTTTCGACCATGTCTTCAGCTGCCCTCCTACCTTTCTGCCCTCCCTTATCCCAACCCTGCCCCCCCCATACTCGGGTCTTGATCCTTGACTGTTCAACGCCTTGGGACGTCCTCCCGATGTGAAAGGCACTTTACAAATGTAATTTTGCTATTGTTGTTTGGGGATATGTTTCTACTTTGTCAATGCCAATGCTTGGCTACAAGGAGATATGCAAGAGTGATCTTACCCATCACTTTGTATGAGAGCAAATGCTAGGAGGCAGATGAAAACAATAATTCAAGTTCCCTAAATTAAACTCCTTAAGCACATTAGAATTGTAGAACCATATGAGGCCATAAAACTCTCCCCCTTCGGCATTGTACATTTAAAAAAACCTTAATTATTAGTCAAGTTTATTTGTCAGAAAAATCTACAGTACATTTCATAAAAATTAACAGACATTGGAAAAAAGAAACTCCAGATAGAAAGACTAAATACAGTATTGCACTTGGCGATTTTAAACATACTATTGTCAACTTACAGCATTATACAAATATAAGTTATCCTGACAACAGAATCTAAAATTAACATGCTGTTATGTTCCTACACTTAAATAATTTAATACTTTATGAATCGCAAAAGACACCAAATTTACATTAAAAACACAAAAAGCTATGAAGATGTACAGATAAATGTTTATCATCATAAGCTTTAACTTAATAGTAATAACAGTGCATTCTTTACCACCACCTCTCCCGGCAGACTAAACTCCATTTTAATACTGGGAAATGTCTGTTGCAAACTGTAAACTCCTTCACAGTAACACTACTTCATCCAATCCAAGTCAAAAATACTTTAATTGTAGCGATCAATCCTTCCAAAGATGGAATTTGTTCATGCACTCTATGCAGTGCAGCAAGTTGCGGAGGTTAGGAAATGGTATTTGAGAAAATAACTAATCATTTATTTCTAATGCATTGCAAATGTTTACTCATTAACGCCAACATAGAATCTATCCAGATCATAGTTATTATTAATTCTGTTTTGGATTATATTGTTGTTGAAGACACTGCCAGCGAAAGAATTAAACACCTACAATCACTAATTATTTCCCCCTCCTCAACAGTGAGCTAATTCAGTACCTGGTTACCCCAGACCCACATCATCTTTCAGGTCTGCAATTCACAAAGAAATATTGTCCAAGGTCCTCTTGTTTGTCCGGTGAGCATGCAGTCAATGAATGCAATGCCCGTGCATAGCAGATAAAGGGCAATAGAATCAAATTGCTGAAAAGGCCAATTGAGAAGTGAGCGGTAGCATTTCCACTAAGTAATGGACACAAAAGCGTGATTATGTGCCCTTACATTGTTATAAAAAGTAAAGGCTAGTGGAAGGATGGTGCACATGTATCATCCCATTCCTAGGGATTCAATTCACTAACACGTTTGTCCTTCAAAATCAGTTTTGCTTTCTGCAAAATAAAAAGAAAAGTGGTTAAAAAACTTCAATGCACAGTACAATCATCCAACAAATTAAAACTTTATGAAAGAATATTTGCTGAGAGAACAATTAGACGGTACAATAAGTGATAGATTTGGATAAAATCTGAATGTCGTCTTAACAGTAATCTTCCATCTGTATTCGATCATTTGTATTTCAGCTCGCTACCCAGCATCAAAGGCACTTATATATGCATGTAGTTGAGCAATATGCATTATTTAACCCTCTTGTTTTTTCATTAGTTCCTTCATTTCTCATTTCCAGCACTTGCTCATACCAGTCTTCTACAGAAATAGGGAATCATGAAAAGGAAAGCCCATGTCTGCACTTTCCAAACTGAACATTGTGTTTTTAATTTGTTCAACAGCTAATTGTCAACGTGAAACTATATTGGCAAGTATTAGCCAGAGGAGCACTGTGAAAACAATTGATTTACTTTAGACAATTTGTACAAGAGGGAATTAAAGGCTTATTGGGAATTTTAGCACTTCCGCCTTTGAATCCTCCTTGGAGTCCTGTAGCTCAGTGGTCAGAGCACTCGCCTTGCAAGCGAGACACCTGGGTTCAATTCCAGGCAGGGCGAAACCTTGGGCAAGTTTCCTTACTTCACCGGCCTAATAATAATCCCTCCAAAACAAAACAATAATAAATTGGTCATTTTCAATCCACGACTGTTTGTGGGACACTGCTGTGTGCAATTGGCTGCGCGTTTCGCCCACAAATATACAGTCAATTCACTTTACAGTCTATTCTGTGAAGCGCTTTGAGACATTGAGAAGACGTGAGAAGCACTATATCAAATGCAAGGATTATTATTATAATAATCAGAAGGTTTGGGTTCATGAACTCCCTGCCTAGGCTGACATTCCTGCGCAGTGTTGGTGGGGGTGTTGCATTGTTGGAGGTGCTGCTTTTGAGACGTTAAACCCAAGTCCCATCTGCCTGTTTAAAGTGGATGTTAAAAGGTCCCATAGCACTATTCAGAAACACGGTGAAGTTTCTCCCAGTGTGCTGGTCATCAACCACCCAAAGAAAATTGATCATTTACTTCACAGCTGTTTGTGGGATATTGATGGGCACAAATTAGCATTTCACCCACAAAATTAGGTGGAACTTAAAGAAATGAACATCAGTAAGGCAATAGTACTAGAGAAATTGATAGGATTAAAAACGATAAATCCCCTGCACCTGATGGCCTGCATCCTAAGGTTTTAAAAGAAGTGACTGCAGAGATAGTGGATGCTTTGTTGTTGATCTTCCAAAATTCCCTGGATTCTGGAATGGTTCCAAGTGATTGGAAGGTCGCAAATGTAACGCTGCTATTTAGGAAGAGTGGGAAACAAAAAATGGGGAACTATAGACCAGTTAGTTGGGTGGTGGGGAAAATTCTAGAGTCCTTAATTAGGGACTTCGTCGTGGGGTACTTAGAAAATCATAATTAGGCAGAGTCAACATGGCTTTACGAAAGGGAAATCATGTTTAACAAATCTTATAGAGTCTTTTCAGGATGTAACTAGTAGGTTAGATAGGGGGAAACCAGTAGATGTGGTGTATTTGGATTTCCAGAAGGCATTCGACAAGGTGCCACATAAAAGGCTGTTGCATAAGATTAGAGCCAATGGAATTAAAGGTAATATATTAGCATGGATTGGAGAGTGGCTAACAGAAAGAAAACAGAGAGTAGGGATAAACGGGTCCTTCTCAGATTGGCAGGATGTGACTAGTGGAGTGCCACAAGGATCAGTGCTTGGGCCTCAATTATTTACAGTCTATCAATGATTTTGATGAGGAAATAGAACTTATATTTAAATTCGCAGACAATACGAAGATAAGTGGGAGAGTAAGCTGTGAGGATGACACACAAAGAATGCAAAGGGAAATAGATAGGCTAGGTGAGTGGGCAAGAAGGTGGCAGATGGAGTATAACGTGGGGAAGTGTGAAGTTATTCACCTAGGTAGTAAAAATGGAAAAGCGGATTATTTTCTAGAGGGGGAGAGACTAGGTAGTGCTGGTGCTGCGTGTCCTTGTACATGTCACAAAAGGTTAGTATGCAGATACAGCAAGCAACTAGGAAAGCTAATGTCATGTTGGCATTTGTTGCAAAAGGGTTAGAGTACAAGAGAAGGGAAGTCTTGCTGCAGTTGTATAAGGCCTTGGTGAGACTGCACCTAGAATATTGTGTGCAGTTTTGGTCTCCTTATTTAAGAAAGGACATACTCGCCTTAGAGGGGTTACAGTGTAGATTCACTAGGTTGGTTCCTGGGATGAGGGGGTTGACCTATGAGGAGAGGTTGAGTAAACTAGGCCTATATTCTCTAGAATATAGAAGAATTAGAGGTGATCTTATAGAACCCTATAAGATTCTTATGGGTCTTGACAGGGTAGATACCGTGAAACTGTTTCCCCTGGTTGGAGAATCTAAAACTAGGGGTCATAGTCTCAAGATTAAGGGTCAGCCTTTTTGAACTGAGTTGAGAAAACATTTCTTCACTCAGAGGGTAGTGAATCTGTGGAATTCTCTACCGCAGAAGGCTGTGGATGCTCAGTCCTTGAACATATTCAAGACTGAGGTTGATAGATTTCTAAAAGATAGAGGGATTAACGGTTATGGGGTTAGGTTGGGTAAATGTAATTAGGTTAGAAGATCAGCCATGACCTTATTAAATGACGGGGCAGGCTCGAGGGGCTGAATGGCCTTCTCTTGCTCCTACGTCCTATGGTCTAAAATATAGTCACTGCATGTCACAGTATATCCCGTGAAGCCCTTTAAGATACCTTTGTGATGTGAAAGGTGTTGCACGAAATGCAAAGATTATTTTTATACAAACAGATCAACTTGAAGTGTGCTTGAATATTTCAACTACTTTGTTATCATTGGGTATCAGTGATGATGCCTAATGCAGAGTTAACATTTAAATTGGCTCAGGAATGGACAAGATAACTTGCAGAATCAGAGTATTTTGTGGACATTCTTTGTGTTATAATAAATAACATTTGCATTTCATATACTATTTTAGAACATCCAAATATGCTGAACGTAATGAGTTACTTTGAAGCAGAGCTTTAAAGCCAGGTTGCAAATTACTGAAAGATCTTTTGGACCCAAAAGAGACATGGCTGCAGCTGTTTAACCAGATAACATCTTGCAGAAGAAAAGGTGGAAACAGATACCAATGTCATGCCCAGGCTGGTTTAAGACATTTTACAATATTATTTGATACCTCTGATGGCACTCTGATGTACCTTTCTCACTTCTAGTCTGAGAGAATGTCTTAGTAAAGTGCACCCGGTAGGAAACTATTCTTCTCTGGTGTATGGGGGAAGGGGGAGAGAGAAAGAAACAAGGCAGCATTTCCAAATGATCACAAAGATGAATGGAAATACAAAGAACGAAAAAAAAAATCAGAGTCATTGGATAACTCCAGAGTTATTACTGGAGAACCTTTAATGTAGCTGTGATTGGTAGAACCTCTCAGATTACTGAAATCTGATGAGTTAAGTCCACCTAGTTATTATAATACTTGTATTTGAAATAGTGCCTTACCTTTCAAAATGTTTGGCAAAGAATTATGTAAAGTGCAGACTGTACATTTGTAGCCTAATATGGCAGCCAATTTGTGCACAGAAAAGTCCTACAAGCGGCTATGAAATGAATGACCATTTTTTTTCTATGTGGGACAGTTGGCCAAAACATTTAACATTCATCAAAAAGATGGGAACTCTGTTTAATATCTCATCTAAGGATGTCACTTCTGACAATGCAGCACTTCCGCACAGCACTTTATTGGAGGATCAGCTAGACTATGAGCTCAAATTCCCAATGTGGGGCTAAATAATATTTGACATTTATTTGAGAGAATGTAAAGAGCTTTACAAAGACTGCGTGGGAGCCCAAGGATGAAATTAACAAGGGAATGGGGATGGGGGTGGTGGTGGGTGGGGGGGCAGCTAAAAGCACAGTCATAGAAAGGTGTGTCTTTGGAGGAGGGGGAAATATTTTAAAACAGAGGGAAGGAACAAGACAGAGTTCCATAGGAAGGGCACAAAATGGCTGAAGGCTTCCCCGATAATTGAGTGGAGCAGGCATGGGACATAAAGCCTGCTGGATTTGGTTGAGTGGTGAGAGTAACTAGAAAGTAGGGTCACAGAAGATCACAGAGATAGGGTGGCAAAACCATGAAGACATTGGAAGGTGAGGATGATTTATGTAAAGTTGATCCACTGGGAAATAGGAAGCCAAATGAGCTGGGTGGGGAAAGGATGTGGACTGCAGAGTTCTTTATCATCTGGAGTTCTTTATCAATGTGGAGTCCTGTAGCTCAGTGGTTGAGCACTCGCTTTGCAAGCTAGAGACCTGAGTTCAATTCCAGGCAGGGCGAAACCTTGGGCAAGTTTCCTTACTCCACACGCCTAATGATAATCCCTCCAAAACCAAAAACAATAATAAATTGGTCATTTTCAATCCACGACTGTTTGTGGGACATTGCTGTGCGCAATTGGCTGCCGCGTTCGCCCACAAATATACAGTCAATTCACTTTACAGTGTGTTCTGTGAAGCGCTTTGGGACGTCCTCCCGACGTGAAGAGCGCTATATCAAATGCAAGGATTATTATTATTATTATTATTATATTATTATCTGGAGTTTGTGAAGTGTTGAGCTGGAGAGACTGGCGAGCAGGGCATTGGAAAAGTTGAACCCACAACCTTCTGACTCAAGAGATGAGCGCAGTACGAACTGAAACAGCTGACACCTTTAGTTTATAATTGGGCTTGGATCGTTGAAAAATAAGGAGTTGACAGACATCCAAATGATCTATACATTTGAACCACAACCAAAGGAAGTAGTTCACTATTCTGTATGCGAGGCTAGCAAACTAAATACGTTGAAAGGTAAAGCATATCATATGAAGCCATAGGTTCAGATAGTTCTGATATACAATTACTTAGATCAAGATTCAAATTCATAAATTATCTTCAGCAAGAGGCTATGATTTCCAGGAATGGTTTCTAAAGTTGAATACCACAGGGTATTTCTCTACTAATCTTCCTCTCAGGGCAGGCAATAAACAAAGGAAGCTGCAACACATGATCTCTCATTCTAGCAGAAATATTGTAAATAAGACACTATGTCCTTGTGGGTTACAGCTATGAACTTGACACCTATGGGCAAGCTTCATACATTGACAATTTTAGAAGTTCATATTCCCTTTTGAGGTAAAAATAGGCATAAACTCATTTGCAGAGCTTCTGGAAGCTCTCGATAACATCTTTGATAAAGCCCCAGAAATGTTGCTACTCCTGGCATGAGAATGGTGATACAGATAGCTTCAGCTACATCTGAGGTACCAATAAGAAGACATCAGCAATGCACGCATCATTGTTTTAACTCTGCCAATTGGCTAATGACGTCTGCTGGTCTAGTGTGGAGTACGGATTATTTGAAAGCAAAGAGGTGATGCCAAAACCTTAGACTACTGTTAGAGTAAACCTCAGACAAACAAAAGCATAATGCTTACAAGAAACCCAGTATAATGGCTATATCTTTGCATTCAAGGGTAATGTTGGCTGCAGATTCTGTCTATAGGGGGAGCACTCTTACTATGAACCTCTCTGCTGGCAGTGGGACAATGTCTTACATGGATTGAAATTAAATTCCTATAAAAGAATATATACTGTACTGATTTCAGCAAGGACTTCACCAATGTCAATATCTTTAGAACAGAGGGCAGGAATGTGCAAGATCAGAAGAAACCATTACAGTCCACTTGGCTCATCTCAATGTCAAATACTATCTTTCTGCATCTCCCCATTGTGCTCTTTGGCAAAATAACCTTCTCATCCAATTCCCTCTTGAAACTGGTCACACTATCTGCCTCCACTGCCTCCCTGATTAAACTGATAAATGGTAACTTGCTGTGTAGTTTCTGTGTAGCAACAGTCAATCTCCCTACCGCTTACAAGTTTGTGGCTATGACTTCTTGTTTTGGATCTCAGCAGGTTCAATACTTTAAGAGTCAAACTCATCAAAATGCTCCAGAATTCTAATGACTTTGTCATACCAGCCCTCAATTTTGTCTCCATTGTAAAATTTTAGTTAGTCACACCCGTCTTTTCAATTTGATTACTTGTCACTGAACCCTCTCCATTTACAGGATGTCCTTGCTTCAAGAGTCAGTAGGTTGGAATAACAATCAGAGTTACCCATAGCAGTTTAACCAGTATGTGATAATAGTGGGAGAAAGCCTTTCGGCAGTTGACATTCTCAAAGGTGTTCCCTTTCCTCCTTCAAGGCCGGTCTCAAGACCTTTCTCTTTGACCGTGCCTTCAGCTCCCCTCTCGACTCTCTACCCCCTCCTTGCTCCCTCGCCACCTCCCCTCCCCCTGACCATTTCCCCCCTGCTCGGGTCCTGACCCAACTGTCCAGCACCTTGGGACGTCCTCCCGACGTGAAAGGCGCTCTATAAATGGAATCTTGTTGTTGTTAAGTGCGTGGAGGTGAAGAGGAGTCTGGGGTTATGTTTCTCTTCCAGCACGTTCCTAGAGAAGGAAGAGGATTTGGAAGGACTAGTACAATTGCACCTTAAAGACTTAAAAATTTCTCTCCCAATTACTTAAAAGTATGTAACAGTTGCATCAACTCACAATTCCCGTTTCAACTTTTTCCTTTACAGAGTAAGACCTTCCTTTCTTCTGTGAACATACATGCTCTTCTGCTTCTTTGATCCTTAAAGCAAACAAATAAGTTACATTACAAATGTGCAGTTCACACCTGAAAGGCAGAAAACTGTTGACAAAATATGGGAAAAAGCTCAGCATACTAAGGGAACATGGCAGTACAGACTTACAGTAACATAACAGATGGTTAAGCAGAATTGAAGTAAAAAAATTGAAACAAGTGACCATTAAAGGAAAAACATAAGTTACAGCAACAGGATAGTTAGATGATTGCGATTTGAAACTAGCTTTCTAAAGATTAAGTAGAGAGAGCTAAACAAAGTTTATATCAAGTGACAAAGACTAACAATTTCTGGAATTTACACAGTGCCATTCACGTAGAATAATGTCCAAGCCCTTTACAGTGGTGGGGGTGGACGGCAAGCAGGGTGAGGAGGTGACCAAAGACTACATTTTAAGGTAGGACATAAAGACAGAGAGTGGGCGAGATGGTGAGAGTGAGGGAGAGAGTTCCAGAGGATAGGGGCATAGAATCAGAAAGCCCAGGCATCAATAATGGCGTGGATAGAGAGGGGAAATTCACAGCTCAAGTTAGTGGAGCAGATGGACTGAGACGAGGAGTGGGGTAGGAAGAGATCAGAGACATAATAATAATAATTATCCTTGTATTGATGTATTTTACAATGTTTTATATTTATATATAATTTTATATATTTGTTTACTTTACAGCATATTCTGTGAAGCTTTTTGAAACTCTTGAAGATGCAATTAGGTCCTATATCAAATGCAAGGATTATTATTATTGATATAGCACCTTATCACATCTTCGAGACATCTCAAATCGCTTCACAGCATATTCTGCAAAGTGGCTTGACTGTATATTTTGTGGCTAATCGCGGTAGCTAATTGTGCACAGCAGTGTCTCACAAACAATAGTGGATTGAGTGACGTAAATTATTATATTATTACTGAAGAACTTACTACCTCCGGAAAAGCGATCCCCCAATTGACTAAAAACTGGGTTCCTATTTACTGCTAGGTAAACACAGTCATGTGGAATAATGAAACTTGCCCAATGTTTCGCACTGCCCGGGAATCGAACCCAAGTTCTCTCACTTGGGAGGCGAGTGCTCTAGCCACTAAGCTACAGAACTTCACATAAAAAGTATAGAGAGGGAGGTGCTAGGGCACAAGGAGATTTACAGATGAGGCTGAAGACCTTGAACAAAATATACATTCAATTTACTTTACAATATATTCTCTGAAGAACTTTGAGACATCTCAAAGACGTGACGAGGTGGTATATCAAATGCAAGGATTATTTATTATTATTATTTATTGAACTCAATCTATTGAGAGACAGACACTGAGTGGAGCCTGGTGAGGAATGGAATAATGGACATGCAGAGCTTGGTGCGCGTGAGGATGCAAGTGGCAGACTTTTGGATTAATTGATGTTTATGGAATCGGGGTAGGAAGGAGAATCTGATTATACACAACTTGAAACACTGTTTTATTTTTGGGGAGAGCTGCACACAATTTGGGTCCTCCAAATGCAGTAAAAATTATGCAATTGGCTACTTCTGAAGAGTAGTCCAACACATACCATTTAACTTTAAAGGTATTTTAATCTTTTCTAGTGGAATGAGAAAATTGACCAACTCTCAGTACAATTTGTGGTGTAAAAAACAACTATTACCTGATTTACTGTACATACCAATGTGTAAAGACATTGGCAGTAAATGTGCTTTGTAAGTTTTTGTAAATGAGTCACAACATGCACAAAATGATTTTTTTGTTCATTTGTAATATTGAATGTCAAAGAATTGGCAACATTTGCAGAAACAAATCAATTCACTGTGTTCTTGGACTAAACTAAAAACAACTTCAACTTTGATGGATTTTTACCAGAGTTGAACTTTCTTCAAAGTTAAAGTTAATTCAGAAAGTATGTTTCAGTGTGTTTTTTTTAAGTACTTATCAGCTATACACGTTACAAAATCTATCCCCAGGGTACAAATAGACAAAAATGTTTCTTTGTGTAATTACTTAAAATATTGTATAATTTAGCTGACGATTTCAGGGATAGAATAAAAAAACCAATGATTTAACACATTAGTTACCACGGCCACTATTTTCCACTCAGCAACAGTGAAAATAGGGGTACTGTATTCTGTCCTACTTTCCTACCCTGATACCAGCATTAGGGGCTAATGCCAGGGTTTTGTGGATGGTATTACCAATTATTCACTGCATGTTCCCTTTGTTCTGCAGGCAGTGAAGATGAAACAGTTGGAGTGCCAAGCTAAATTACCCTCCTTAAGGAACAAGTTCAACCTATCTAACCCTGGGAAGGCCAGACATAGTACTCAATGTATTCTGGTGCCAGTCTTCAAACCTGACCACGTCATTGTGAAGAGGCTGTTGGCTACACTTCTGAATATTTTCTTCAAGCATCACAAGGGCAAGTTGAAATCACACTGTACTGGCTCTACTTCTGAGAAGTAAATCCAACAGCAACTACCTTAGACAAACTTTTACAGCACGTAAGGAAGCCATTCGGCCCACTGTGTCTCTGTTGACTCCAGCAGAGACGCAGAAAGCAATATCCATTCAGTCCCATTTTCTTGCCCTTTCCATATACCTTCTGCTTTTCAGATAACTATCTAATTGCATCTTAAAAAATATAGATATTTCCTCAGTGCAGTCCAAGGTAAGACATTCCAATCCTAACAACTCTCTGTGTAAAAAAAAAGCCCTCTCCTTTCTGAGAAGTAAAGAATGTGTCCATTCTTTAAGAACCATTTTTATGCTAACTAAAAAAACTCAAGCAAAATTTAAAACTCAGTAATAAATTAGGGGACATAGTTATAACATAGCCATAAGAATTGCGAAAGGAGAATTTAGGATGATTTTTTTTCACCCAAAAGTTGTTGGACTATGGAATGCTCTGCTCAATAAGGTTGTAGTGGTGGAATACATTGCAACTTTCAAGAGAAGTAGACATGCATATACAAATACAAAATGATATTTGTATAGCATCTTTCACATCAGGAGGATTTTCCAAGGCGCTGGACAGTCAGGGATTTGGACCCGAGGTGGGGGTTGAAATCGGGGAGGGTAGAGGGCAGGGAGGGTAGAAATGGGGCAAAAGGCATAATAATAATAATAATAATCCTTGCATTTGATATAGCACTTTTCACGTTGGGAGGACGTCCCAAAGCGCTTCACAGAACAGACTGTAAAGTGAATTGACTGTATATTTGTGGGCGAACGCGGCAGCCAATTGCGCACAGCAATGTCCCACAAACAGTCGTAGATTGAAAATGACCAATTTAAGTATTGTTTTTGGTTTTTTTGGAGGGATTATTATTAGGCGTGTGGAGTAAGGAAACTTGCCCAAGGTTTCGCCCCGCCTGGAATTGAACTCAGGTCTCTCACTTGCAAAGCGAGTGCTCTAACCACTGAGCTACAGGACTCCACAGGCATGGTCGAAGAGGAGGGTTTTGAGACTCACTTTGAAGGAGGCAAGGGAGGGGACAAGGCGGAGGGAATGCAGGATGGAGTTCCAGAGGGTGGGAGCAGAGTGGCTGAAGGCCTGACCGTCAAAGGTGGAGCAGGCTAGGCAGGCAACGTGAAGCAGGCCAGAGCCCACTGAGTGGAGGGAGCAGGCAAGTTGGTAGGGGGTTAGGAGTTTGCAGACATAGGAAGGAGCAAGGCCGTGGAGGGCCTTGACGGCAAGGATGAGAATCTTGAACTCTATCCTCTGGGGGATGGGGAGCCAGTGGAGCTGGGTGGGGGTGATGGAGTCATGGAGCCTGTTGTGGGAGAGGATACAAGCTGCAGAGTTCTGGATGATCTGCAGTTTGTGGAGGGAAGAGTTGGGAAGGCCAATAAATAGAGAGTTGGCATAGTCGAGCCTAGATGTGATGAATGCGTGAATGAAAGGGAGGGGATTGAAGGGGTATGGGGATAAGACATGGGGTGGGACTGAATTAATTTCCTTGCTCTGTGAGCCAGTGTGAACTCGATGGGCCAAATAACCTCCTTCTGAACTATGCATTTCTATGTTTCTAATTGCCACATATGGTACTATATGATGATCCCGTTGAAATCAATCTATTATGTGAAATGGCACATTGCAAACATTGGTCCAGAAAGAACCCGTTCAGTGCTTAACAACTTGGAAGAATTCTATTGAACCAAAATGCTCTGTGGCCCCAGTTGCTGATCAAAAGAACTCATACAACCAAGGAATATTTAAGCATTGTTATTTTTTAAACATAATTGAACAATATTTCCTGCAGAGGAATGTAGCACAATTTACATAAGGGAAAACTAACTGCTCCATTGGAAGCAGCAATTTCTGGCAGAAGAGGGGAATTCCACTACATAAATTCATACAGAATTTATCAACATGCTTCCTCGGATCATTGTTTACATTCATTTTTATTGTTCTGGAATACAGGATTGCATACGTACTGCAGAAATCATATTAACCTGTTCTTGCCACACTAAGGAGGGCCACTTAATGGCCATCTTCTTATGGTGGTCAATCACTTTACTCAAGTGACTTAGGATGGCATTCTAAATCATTATGCACACCCCAAGCATTTCAAATTTTGTTATCACGTGTACGCAAAGACCTTGAAAGCAATACAAATATGATTTAAATTTAGGTAGCACCTTTCACATCAGGAGGACATCTCAAAAAACTTCACAGTAAAAGTACTGTAGGTACCTTCTTTGGGTTTCCTACAAGTGAGTAAAGTGAGCAACAATACTGCACTGAAATGGGCGAAAAATAAGATACTCTTGCAGACCACATATGCTCAGTGAACATACTGCATCAGTGTCAGCCTGGCTCAGTTGGTAGCGTTCTCGCCTTGGAGTCAGAAAGTTGTGGGTTCAAGCCCCATGTCGAGACTTGGAACTCAGTCTAAGATGACACTCCAATACAGTGCTGGGGATGGGTTGCATTATCGTAGGTGCTGCCCTTCAGATAGGATGTTAAACTGAGGTCTTGTCTGCCTGTTCAGGTGGAGGTTA